GGGTATTGTCGGCGACAGTGCCAAAAGTATACAAAGTATTGTCGACCGCGATACGAACGTTGCGCGGAAGTACGGATACCCGGGAGGTCTTCGATGGAATGCGATCAGCGCCGCGGAGATATTCGAGCCTGTGCTCGCTTACTGGGAAAAGTGCGTGGACACCGACAAGAGCATGCTCGAGCGTTTGCTCGACACTGGCGTCTTGCTGGAACTAATGAATTGGTTTGTACACATGAATAGAGATGAATTTAACTCCACGCACGTGTCGGTCAAGTGCAAGTCGTGCCTGGGCAAACTCTGTACAGTTAAGAGGGACTTGTACAACGCCGTGGTGATGAAATGCAGATTCGTCAGTCTAGTATGTAAGTTTCCCGTTAAAACTCTGCCGGCGAAAGCGTGCGCTGTTACTAGGAAAATTATGAAGCGGAATGTCGAGTGGGTCATTTGTGAAATGAAGGAATCCGAATGTAAGTATTGGAGACAATCGTAGAACACGTGTCGCAATTTAACTTACAACGTAGGCGTACTGTCTGAACATGTGTACAAGGAAAGCGTGTGTTTACTGTTTGTTCACCTTCTTGCGCAGTTGCATCTCTCGACTCGACGGAGTTGAACCGAGCCCTACAGATTCTGAGAGCTTCAGGAATCTTGAGAATATTATCTCTTTCGTGCTGGGCAGATTGAGCGTTGTATATTACAGCAATAATTTGTATAGGTAAGCTGCGACTGTGCGCATTGAATGCCTTGTTAACGTATAACCAGTCAAACACAAAAGCTTTTTGTAGATGGGTGCACATTAAGAAAATTACATCCAAAGAAGTCGCAAGCTTGGCTATGCTGGACTGCTTGACCAGTGATGAAGATGAGATAAAGAGCGAACTGGGACTTTCAATCGATATCTCTAAGTACGACGTTACCGCGTTGTGTCTGCATGAAGTCAACAGTTTACTGGAGGAACAGGTCGCATTTGCGAACGGCGTGGCAGCGGTTCTGGAAAAATTGAGGAAGCTACAGCCGAGTGATCAATATGCTGCACACACGGTGCAGTTATTAGGGTATTATTCCTTAGGTTTCAATTACGAGAGCTCTATTCTGGAGTACCACGAGTAAGCTATACACGATTTGAAGCAGAAAAAGTCGAACTCCGTAGCTGTTCTGTGCTCGGAAGCTAATTTAAGTCTTTTTATCTTTGCAGAGAACTTGCGAGTCATGATTAAGCAAACTCAGTTGGAAATAGAAATTTCCAAATTTTGTTTTCTTATAGAAGAACTTTCTGTTAAAAATTGGTAGAAACAATCCTAAAGATCATCTTCATCGCACTCTGACCAAAATATTTACATACTGTATTCTTACGAAAACTTAATATTAAACATTAGAATTGCACAGGATTTGTGATAGCCATGAGATGCATTTCTTTTTCTTTAACCTCTTGCTGAACGGCTATATAGTGCAGTAATAGAATGTGATTGGTTAGATCCAAAAGTAAGAACCAATCACATTCAGTGAGCGGAACGCAGTATCTCCCGGAAACGGGCAACGAGGTTAGGTCGGAGATAGCCAATCTTTTCCGGTGTGGTGCAATAGAAAGAGAAAGCCGGAGAGAACAACGTACTGTTATATCAAAGGTAATCCTTATTATTTTATAAATAATTGTCATACGTATACAACACATTACACATAATATGTTCATGAACTGAGATTTTTATATTATTTTATCGTTAATATTCCTTTAATCTCATTCACAGCCGCTGTTAAAAAAATTGAGGTTAGGTCGGAGATATCCAATCTTTTCCGGTGTGGTGCAATAGAAATTAAGAGAAAGGGAGAGAACGTGCTATTTATATCAAAGGTAATCCTTATTATTCTATAAATAATTGTCATAAGAATGTGTTCAAAGAATGATATCGTCGCAATGTAATCGACGTCAATTCGACGGTGTCGATGTCGATTCGACCTCGTTTCGACGTCGATCGACGAATCATTTCTCACTGGGATGCCCATGTGCCTCATTAATTTGCACATAAGACATACACATTTAGACGTAATTGTGCAACATGGAACCAACTCCATAATTTTTTTATATTGAAGTAAAATACACTAAAGCATTTAAAAATATTTCTTTAGGCACTCTGTATGTCTATCATGCCAAAAGATATAAAGTATCTAACGAAAAGACGAAAGAATCAGGTTGTTATTCAAAATGTATGTAGTAATAGTAAAAATTGTTTTGCTTATGAATTTGTACCAAGTGTTGCATTTAATGAAGTAGTAGACCAAGCGGCACATATTAGTATACCGTTTGAAAATGTAAATCACTCAGAGGAATTATTAGTAGAATCGCAGTCTGAGAGTAATGAAAAATGTACTCCTGATTCGCAAGTTCAAATATCTGCATTGGCAGATATTTCTAATTGCAGCAACAAACAAAGCTTGTGGGAAGATTTACAGAGGTTAATTATAAAACGAAATATTCCTCACAGTACTTGTAATGAGTTACTTAATATATTAAGAAAACATGGTCATACAGAATTGCCTTGTGATGTTAGATCTTTGGTTAATACACCACGCAATGCTTCCCTAAATATAAAATGTTTGGCTAACGGTCGGTATGCATATTTTGGTCTTGCTTCTGTTTTGAAGCGTTCCATAGAAATTTATTTTAAATTTATTTCAACAAGTGAAATAAAACTGAACATAAATATAGATGGTTACCTCTTTCAAAAAGTTCTACTAGTCAAATCTGGCCCATAATGGCTTCGATTGAAGATATTGGTATTTATACATCGCCATTTGTAATTGGTGTGTATCATGGCATGTGCAAACCGAGCAATGCAAATGATTTTCTCACCAATTTTGTTACCGAATTTATGTTTCTCTTTGAAAATGGTATAATTGTCTGCAACAAAAAATTTAAAGTTAGTATTAAAGCAATCCTGTGTGATGCGCCTGCTAAATCATTCATCACATATACGAAAGGTCATACAGGATATTTTTCATGTTCAAAGTGTATGCAAGAAGGCGACTTTGTATGCAATAGAATAACTTTTCCTGAAACCAATAATATGTTACGTACAAATGATTCATTTAAAAATCGGACTCAAATCGAACATCACACAGGTGATTCTATATTGGAAAACCTTCCCATCGGGATGGTTTCACAAATTCCACTTGATTACGTGCATCTCATTTGTTTGGGTGTTATGAGACGGTTGTTGCAATTGTGGGTCAAGGGAAATAAAAATACCAGACTTAGTGTAGATAATATTGATTTAATCTCGCAATATTTAATGGCTATTAAACCTTGCATTCCTTCTGAGTTTGCAAGGAAGCCTAGAACTTTAGCTGATATCGATAGATGGAAAGCTACAGAATTACGCCAATTTTTATTGTATACTGGTATTGTAATTTTGAAGTCAACCATACCTCAGATTTGGTATAATCACTTCCTTTCTTTTAGTATAGCGATAAGGATAATGGCTGATCCACAAATGTGTACAAAATTTCTTGATTATGCTAATTCATTATTATTATGGTTTGTATCCAACTACGGGGTTCTTTACGGTGAAGAATATTTGTCACATAACGTTCATAATGTTATTCATATTGGTAATGATGTAAAAACTTTTGGTTGTCTTGATAATTTTAGTTGTTTTAAATACGAAAATTATATGCAAAAGATTAAAAAAAAAATGCATGAATGTGGAAAACCTTTAGAAGAATTGTCAAATCGCTTATTTGAAGAATTACAACAACCAATTATACAGTGCCCCATTGTACACTATCCAATTGTTCACAGAAGTAATAACAAAATTTCTTGCTTTCAATATGAAAATTTCAACATTGCAATAACAGACAATGATAAATGTGCTCTGCTTAACGATAATTCTGTAGTTTTTATTTTGAATGTAATTGAAGAAAACAATACATTATTTTTTCGTGCAAAACGTTTTTTGAATCCAAAATCTTTTTTCACTGTGCCATGTGCTTCAGAAAAACTGGGTATATTTGTAATTTCAAGTACAACTGCTTCGGAAATTCTAACAGTCCCACTCACTGAAATAAAAAAAAAATGTTTAATATTGAAACATATGAACCAACCTAATTCGTACGTCACAATACCGCTTCTTCATACTAACAATTAAATGCTGTACATTTTTGACAATATATTTTGATGTGTTTTTTTAGAAAAATACATCAAAATATATTGTCAAACTCTCTAAAAATAAAAATATTGCGAATAACAATCATTATTGCAACGCATTTTTTCGTCTTTATTTAATATTTTATACTTTATTAACGTTGGATTCGTGCAAATTTTAAGGAGAATTTAATTAAACAATAACATTTGTTAGGTGAGTGGAATATTTATAAATATACCGTACTTATAATTTTGTTATTTTGCAATATTGTATGCATTTAAATCTTATGCAATTATTAACAATATCATAATTTTTATGGATTAAAAATTATTAATATAAAAGGACTATCTTTCAACAAAAAAATTCTTCCTACTTTTTCTAGCCCACCTAGCCAATGCTTTTATCAATATGACAGAATGTCTTTACATGTATGAACTTTTTTTTAACTAATATACTTGTTTATTTTAGAGATTATGTCGAAAGATACAATGGATTGTAGCAAATCTGTTGGAAAGAAAGAATACTCTGTTGTTAAATTTCTGGTTGATGATTTATATTCAGAAATACCAACATCATGGCTTGTTAATGATGATAGTAAACAGTTGTGTTTCTGGCCGCCACGGACAGCAAATGCTGCGTTACTAATAACTAAGTGTACGAGTCCAAATTTAAAAACTTGGAGCCAATATGAGGTTGACGTTATAAAGAAGTGTAGTAAGTATTAATAATGTATTGATATTTTGCCATGTTATTACATTATATAATTATCAGATATAAATTTAACATGGTTATATTGAATATATTGTTGTCATGATTATTATGTTTTACTTATGTGCATGGTCACATATATGCACATTGGGAATGATACTAAATATTTTCCTTCATTGCAGTATCTTTAGAATCTGCAAGAAAATTTGCAGCTGATTCAAACTACGAAACGACTGACGAAGACAAATTCGGTCGTAGTAAAAGGCAACATGTTTTATACAGGG